GATAGGTTGGGGAGCGCACCTAGGCGACCACAAGGTACAGGGCCTCTAGTCCCTATCAGAGACACGTCTGCACATCAATCTTCTAGAGCTCAGAGCCATCAGGTAAGCTTGCCTTCACTTTCTTCCCAACATAAAGAACAAGTCCATCCGAGTTCTGACAGACAATATAGCATGTATGTTTTACATCAACAGGCAGGGAGGAGCATGATCTCACTCCCTATGCACCAAAGCCATCCGACTATGGAATTGGCGCATACAACATCTCATAGAAATCCCCGCTTCTTACCTGCCTGGGTGTCACAACACTACTGCCGACACACTCAGCAGTCACTTCTCCGAGGAATGGGAATTACATCCCACGATACTCAGACAGCTCTTCTCCCACTGGGGCACTCCGTTGATAGACCTGTTGGGCACTCCTCAAAACCGCAAATGCCATCTATTTTGCTCCAGAGCGGGACTCGGGAACGCATCTCTAGGGGATGCGTTCCTCATTCCTTGGAACAATTCTCTCATGTCCGCTTTTCCACCGATTTAACTGATACATAGGGTTCTACGCAAGATCACAGAGGACAAGGCTCGGGTCTTACTTATTGCCCCAGCTTGGCCAAGACAGACATGGTATCCTTACTTGCTACGCATGTCCATCCATCCGTCCTCCAAGGACTCTCCCCGACTGACCAGATCTCCTCTCCCAGAACAGCATTTGGCTTCTTCACCAACAGCTCCGGAAACTCCATCTGACGGCGTGGTTCCTTCATGGTTTCAATCCCATGAATTAGCCTGCTCACAACAGGTCCAATATGTCCTCCTGCACAGTAGAAGGGACTCCACTCGTAAGACTTACCTGCAAAGGTGGAAACGCTTCTCCATCTAGTGCTTTCACAGACACCTGACACCCCAGACTGCAACCTTCCCTCACATCTTAGACTATTTTTTCGAACTAAAACAGGACGGGCTTTCGCTCAGTTCTATCAGAGTACACTTCGCGGCCCTTGCCACCTTCCATGACACCCTGGACGGCTATTCACTTTTTGCCCACCCCACCATGAAATGCTTCCTCATGGTCCTGCAAAATCTCTACCCTGAGATTCATTCACCAGTAGCCTCTTGGAATCTCAACCTAGTTCTCTGCAGTCTCATGAAACCTCCTTTCGAGCCCCTGGCTACCTCATCCCTGCTCCACATGTCCATGAAAGTGGCTTTCTTGGTTGCCATAACATCAACAAGAAGGGTTGGTGACATAAGCGCACTGATGGCCTACCCCTCCCTACACCATTTTCTCTAAAGACAAGGTTACTATGCGACCCCACCCCAAATTCCTCCCCAAGGTGGTGTCTCCCTTCCACCTTAACCAGCCAATACACTTACCTGTATTCCATTCGATGGGCTCTTGCATTCTATCTTGACAGAACTAAACCATTTTGTAAATCCCCTAAGCTATTTGTTTCTACTACGGAGAGATCAAAGGGTGAGGCTATCTCTAAGCAAAGACTCTCCAAGTGGATCGTGGACTGCATCAGATCCTGCTATCAGACCCAGAATGTTCAACCACCAGAGAGTGTTAGAACTCATTCTATTAGAGCAATGTCAATATCGTTGCCTTCCTCCACAATGTACCTATTACAGACATATGCAAAGAGCAACAGAGGGTCCTGTGGCACCTTTAAGACTAACAGATGTATTGGAGCATAAGCTTTCGTGAGTGAATGCCGACTTAGTCAGACATATGCAAGGCGGCCACGTGGACATCTGATCACACATTTGCCAAACATTATGCTATCACACGGGATACCACGGCAGACGCCATAGTCAGCCATATGGTACTGTCTACCATTATCCCTCATGCAACTCCAAAATCCCACCAGCCATAGTGGGTACTGCTTCACATTCACCAGGAGTGGAGCACCCACAGGGACAACACTCGAAGAAGAAGAAGAAGAAGAAGAGAAAGTTACTCACCTTGCAGTAACTGAGGTTCTTGGAGATGTGTGTCCTCGTGGGTGCTCCACTATCCACCCTCCTCCCCTCTACTTTGGAGTACTAATCAGACAACTCTATGATAGAGAAGGAACTGGGGGGGTGCGGCACGCGCGCACCCAGGCAGACCCTAATATTGCTGCGAGAAGCACCTGAGCGTGTGTGTCCCGACCAGGCACTCCTACCGAAGATCTCCAATCAACTGCGCCGGGATGCACCATCACCTGGAGTGGAGCACCCACAGGGACACACCTCTTGAAGAACCTCAGTTACTGCAAGGTGAGTAACTTTCTCTTCTTCTGTTCAATTCTGAATCGTAAATGATCATTTTCCTTGCCTTTGAGAAAACAGACACAAGGGGGAGAGCGAGAGAGGGGATAGTAAATGTGGGGGAAATTCAGCTTTTGTTGATCTTGAAGTACAAGGCAACTAGACAGTCATGTGGGGCAGCTGTGGTAGCTGCTGTTCTGGGCTCTGGCTCATTTCTGCAGTCTGGGGTGTCATCTGGCTGGTCTGGTCAAATCCCTCTCCTTCACCGGTCTGTCTCAGGCTGGGCAGAGGTAGATATGCCATCTCATTTCATAATGCTTGTGCCATGAGGTACAGCTGGTCTCAGGATCAGAGGAAAAGCTGAGTGAGTGAGAGTGGGGAAGGAAAGGGAGACAGTGAGGGATAGAAAGGAACATACGAGGGGAGGAAAGACCGAAGGCTCTCACATGTATATGGCTGATGTCTTCACTGATGCAGCAGTGGTGGTCAGAGGTCCCCACTCATGTGGTGAGGTCTGGGAGTCATGATGACCCTTCAGGCTCATGAACAAAGGACAGTATCTGGAGTGAAGTGGGGGCCGATCAGCCTTTCCCCTGGAAATCCCCTAAAAATGCAATCCTCATTCAATTTCCCCACCCCAAGGTCTCTTTTTATAAGCCATGTCACAATTCCTGATTTAATTGCACTTCTGACCCCTTAGGGGTCACCTTGAGGCACTCCGCTTAGGTCTGTGGTCTGCAGATGTCACCTTTATGGGGACGGAATTTTGCCATTCGCTCCTTCCTGACTGGGTTTTTAGGTTGCAGACTTCTGCTCAGGTGATCACAGTGAATTGTGGATCTGACTTCAGTTCAGCACCTGCAGTCCTGTTCTCTCAGAGGCAGTGAAAATGTTATTCGGTGACTAACCAGCTTTCACCAAGCCAAGTACTCTTGATTCAGAACAAAAGCATTATAAAGAAAACTTACCTTAAAAAAAATCAATAGCTTGTATACATGCCTGACTTACCAGGTGATCACCCATCCTCTACAAGAAGACCCTGGCATGTTTTAAAGTACTTTGGGTCTCTGCCCACATTGTTTCAGCAGTGACGATTTGCATTACTTATCCCTACTGTCTTTACTTCCTGCATGCTTACAATTACTAGCAAAGCCTTAAAGATACATATAACATTAATACAATAGTCTTTCACTATTCCATTTCCAAAGCATCTGTTACAAGCCCATGCTCTCATTATTTTGATACCATAGACCTACTTTTCAATAAACCCATTTTGATCCATTAATTTCTGGTTTCGTTCTTCTCTTGTTTACCAGACATACAACCCAAGGAATATGTTGAGAGTGTCAGGAGGCCTTTTGCTTTTTGTTATGACTAATCCCAGTCATTCTGTCTCCCTTATATACCTTTCTCCATCCACACTTATTGTTATAGGGGATTGGGAAGTGGGTTTTTAAAAGGTTCTGACTGTTGAGATCATAATTGGGGTAGACCTGCTAGGCCTCCATTTTTTACAACACATCAAGAGGATTTCAAAAATAATTTGGGGATTTGAATAAGAGATTTCTGTAATGTATTTGTTTAACTTTGACTCATTTTTATACTTGTTTCTGTCATGATACAGCACGTTCTCGGAGCAGCACCTATTTTTCTCTCGTTGCCATAATGACAGCCTTTCTCAGGTTAGGGAGGAAATGACATATGCCATTAGGGAATCTAATGGGGGTGTGACTTTTCTGCTGTTGGATACACCCTTGCCCAATCTAGAATCATTGCTACAGTCATCATCATTTTTAAACTGGGACCTGGTGGAGTTTAACAGATTAGCACTTTGCTCGGCCTCACTTCTGTAAACTGTGATTGCTGGCCTAAAATGACATGATTTAGAAGTTTCTTGTAACCTGTTCAGCAGCTGTAAATTCTACCCCCGCATCTTTCCTCAGGCTAGCTGAGAACTGGCAGTAACAGGCAGCTGCTGTTGCCCTGTATAAACCTCAAGCCAAGTTCCCCTGGCTGCATAACACAAGAGAGGGTCTGTTAGCACTGAAGAAGCAACAATTAAGAGTAAAAATGTGCCGGTCAACCTTGAAGAGGGCGTCTGAGTTCCAGCTTTGGACAGCTGGCTAGCCAATATATTTTGCTATGAAGCACAGACATTAGATGGGTTGGTTAGCCGGAAGACAATGGGCAAGGGAGTACTTGAGAAGGGGAGAGGAGATAAGAAAAGCAGTCAGGAGTGGTGGGGACCAGTGAAAGGAGGGAGGAACCAGGGAAGGAGGAACACAAAGTGGTGTGACAGAGTTTGGGGAAAGGTGAACAGGAGGTGGGGGAGATCAGAAAAGGTGAGATGGCATTGAGAGATTGTGGCAGAATTAACAGGGAATGTTTTTCACATAAAAGAAATTGTGGGGGAGAAAAAAAATAGACTGTGAGGAGGAAGTTCTGGGAAGACCAAGAGGTGGGACGGGGACCCAAAGATAAAAGGAGGGGAGAAAAGATGGAGAGAGAGGAAAGAATGCAAAAAGACTAGAAGAAGAAGAATAGCCCAAACTAATTCTACCTTAATCTCAGGGGGAAAATATTTAGGAAAAATATTTGCTTTGTCCCAGTCTAGCAGGGACAAAGCAATTCTTTGGCCTGACTAACTCTGGGGGGCATGCTATCATTTGACTTTTCCCAGGTTAAGCATGCAACATATATAATGATTTTGTTTATCCAAATCCCCAAAAATGAAGTATAAACTAAGCAGATTTATTGTAAGAATAATTTTTATTTAATATTTTGGTAATACAGTGATCCATCTTAAAATGACCACAAAGATTAGCTGTTTAAGAACTGCATACATTTTATCTGGGTATTAATAAACTTGAAGAATTTTACAGTGATAGTATGATACACAGTATAAATGCTTGTCAAATATGTGCATCACCTGATCATAGACATCCACACAAATCAATTTCAACTGTATGAATGACAGTCATGTTATGACAGATACATATTTTAAAGCTTTTGGGAGAAGTACAAAATTACAAAAACAGTATTGTTTACTGAAATAGAAAACAATGATCCTTGAATTAGAATAACTATTCTGTTGAAGGTTACAGACATTTTTATGGACATATAAAAGTATAAGTGAAAAAAATGTGTTGATCCAGTATAGATCTGAGTATGACTATGTTAAGAATGTTATACAACATTTCACAGATATAGGCTAAGTTCTGGGATATCAAAGATTTTATGTAGTCCACAAAATACCTGAGGGATACCCCTTTTAGATTTAAAAAAGCCTTTGATTTTAACGTTTAGTTTTGAAAAACATGGACGTACATTCCCTACAAAATCAGAGATTTGAAATAGCTGAGTCGGGTGTGTCCCTGCTACCTGGGTTTAGGGGGCAATGCTTTAAAGACCCTGATACAGATTCCTTTGAAGTTAATAGCAAAGCTCCTATGTACTTCAGTGTGATCAGGATCAGGCCTTCAACGTTGCTCCCATCCAAAAGCACTGTGAATTTTGCCATTGCTGTCAATAGGGGGTAGGATTGTCACCTACTGTATAATATAGGGCCTCAGTCCTTCAAATCTTTATTCATGTAAGCAGTCCTCACTCCATCAAGTAGTCCCACTGATTTCATGTTTATAGCACCAGGCCCATATTCCTCTGTATACCATAGGGTCTGATTTTGCAATAGTCTACGCACCTCAAGCAATGTGCTGAGTGCCTCTAACTCCCATGGATTTCATTTAGAGTAGAGAGTGGTTTGTGTTTCACAGGAGGTGCCCAACACTTTGCAGGGTCTGCACTTTTATATATTAAAAAGCAGGTTCTCTGAGTGTTGTTCATTATCCTATATAACCATTACAGAGTGGTTCAAGACTAAAATACTTCTCATGTATGTTTTACTTAACAGCTGATCACAAGGCTATGTGAAATAATGCAAACTACAAAATGCCCAAATTATCCTGATTGGGCCCCAATAATTGTATGTAATCCAAACTCCCATTATTTTGTTTCATGTCCTTACTGGAAGTAGATCACATTAATAGTACATGATGAACCATCATAGGCATAATTTTAACTCCAGCTAATAGAATGATTATAGGAACATAACTATATCTATTCCACATGTTGTTTGATCTTAGTGGCACAAAAGTTCTAAGACACAAGTCCTCCTGCAAACCTACGTGAATTTTAATAGGACTGCTCATGTGATATTCTATGATTCTATGATTAAGTGTTGGCATGTGCCTAAAGATTGGCAGAATCAGGCATAAGCTTTTAGCTGAGAAAATAAACAGTCCACAATAAAAGGCCATCCTTAAGTAGGTTTTCCTAATGAAAATATCTATTATTTTTCCTTTGATCAGTACCTTTGCTTCTGCTTATGAATAAATTAATGGATTATATCTCATATCTGCTATTTGGTGACTTACCACTTTTAATCTTTCTGCTTGAGATGTAATGAATTTCAGTACATTCCATTTGTTCACATATAGATTATGAAATACATTTCAAAATTCCGTTGTGCTCATAAATAAGTCTTTTTGTAGTCATACTTTAAATACTTTGGAATGTTAAAGGCAAGCTTGGCATTTTACCCAACTTCATTTGAAAGTTTATCGTCAAGGCACTGAAACACATCCCAGCGCATGTCCCAGGATGTAACATGAGCCCATGGCAGTTCCCTGCATAGGGCGCTTGCAGAATCTAGCTCCAACAATCTAGGCACCTCTTTCCACACAAGATTTCACTTTGGGATGTAGAGTCTTTGAAGGCAAATTAGAGCTGAGACAGCTGCAATGAGACATGGAAAGGGTTGCGCAAGGAGTGGCTGGGACACTCCAGCCAGGCAGTTAATGAGGAGGGTATTAAAATAACTGTTTTCTTCTGCCTGTTACCCCAAAAACAAATTTACTTTTAAATCACATTTTTTGCCTGTATTTCAGTACTTAATATTTTTATAAGGCTCCCCTCGTGCACTCTCTCTCTCTCTCTCTCGAATTAAAAAAAAGGACCTGCTTAATGCTTGGGCAATTCCACTCCCCGGTGTTTTGTGGTACTTGGTATACTACAAAGAGCTCACCAGTGCTGCATATTATTATTTACTTTATTTTAAGTCTAAAAAGAGAGAGGCGGGAGCATCCTTATATCTTTTATTCAAACGTCAGTGTTCACAGATTTGCTGATAGATGAATTTCAGTAGCTGTTTTCTCTGCTTGCAGTCTTTGGACAGCTTTATCTAGCAAATCCATAGTCTCCCTAAGAGTGACATTAACTGTAAATGGCTTAGGTTTAATGGTCAACCCATAGGTGAATTCCATTTTAGAGTCCTCATTTGGGTTAGCAATAAAATTGCACTGGTGTACCAGTATGGAAGTAAAAAGAAAGAGCTGCATCTTGGATAACTCCTCTCCAATGCACCTACGTTTACCCAATGAGAAAATCATCACATTGCTAGTAAGATCTTTGTTAATGAATCCATTCTCATCCAGGAATCTTGTTGGCTCAAAATCCTCTGGGTTGGACCATTTTTCTGGGTCATGATTCACTGACCACTGATTGATGAATATGACTGTATCTTTGGGAATGAAGTAGCCCATTATGGAGGTGTCGACTGTGGTGGCATGTGGAATAGTGACTGGCACAAAGCTGCTGAAACGCATGGATTCATAAAGGAAAGCCATAACATAGGGCAAATGAGGTTGATCTTCTGCACAGGGCAAGCGATCTCTGCCAACAATCCTATCCACTTCTTCTTGCATTTTAACCTGCACCTTTGGATATCTGTTGGGATTTAAACATATTTATATATACACATGTCATCTATGCAAATATAATCTACATTTTCAAACAACGGACTTGCTTTTTGAAAAAATCGTATTTAGCTAAAGCTGCTCAAATTTTTTTCACAATTTTTGTCAAATGCAGTTGTCAAAATAAAATATTTCATAGAAACATATTGACTATGACATGTTCAGTGGGAAAAAGTCAAAATTATTTGTTTCAATAGTGTTATAATTTAATTTAGCCTGCTATATTAAAATTGTATTTTATATTACATTTAATATTTAATGTGTATTGTATATTTTAATGCAATATAAAAGCTGAAACAAAATGGATTTAAATGACACTAAATTAATTATTTTTGAATTTTAAATTTCAGCTTTTCATTCTAAATCAGAATTACTTCCCCCCCCCCCCTCCATGCCCCAAAAGTAAGAATTTCTCACGGAATGGAAATGCTGGTTCTTGACCACCTCTACATGTAAGCTCTAAATCTGTTTCCATTGATGTTTGAATTAACACATATGAGACTATATTACACATGAATTAGAGCTGTATGTAGTGTTTTTTTAAATTAAAATATCTAATAAACTATCAGAACAGAAAAGTTCATGAGCACTCAGATCTTTGTTTGTGGATATTTACTATGACTAATATCAGAATACACTTTTTCATGGTACTGCATTGTATTTAGGATCACTAGCAAAAAATTATTCCAAATTTGTTATATAAACTTGGAGAAGGATCTCCAAGTGAGAGAGATTATAAAAGAAATAAGCAAGCAAAAACATTGTAGAAAGGGAGATCAGCCTATTTTTTCCTCTGTTTGGTTTTTTTTAAGCCCTCATTCCTTCCCTCTCTAAAAGCAACATAGCTCTATTGTCTTCCCACATCTATAATTTTTTGAAGCTTTTTGAAGCTTGATTTTTAACTCATCATGTTTGGGCTTTTCAAGTTCCTGTGTCTCCCTCTGTCTCAGTATGTCTCCATGAGACAAGGTGGGTGAGTTAGTATCTTTTATTGGACTAACTTCTGTTGGTGAGAGAGACAAGCTTTGCCACTACACAAAGCTCTTCCTCAAATTTGGGAAAGGTATTCAGAGTGTCATAGCTAATACAAGGATCAAACAGATAGAAAAAGCCCTACTTATGCTAAACTAAGGGACTATTCAAGGTGAAGTGGCCCATTAATACCTCTGTAGTCATAAGACAAAAAGGGGAATTAGTGGGTTACAGAATGTTGTAATAAACCATAAATCTAGTGTCTTTATTAAGACCATGATTTTTAGTGTCTAGCAAAGTTATGAATTTAAGCTCCCAGGCTCATCTTTTGAAAGTATTGTGACGGTTTCCTTTGAGGATGAGGACTGAGAGGTCAGATCCCTTTGTGAAATGTATGTCTGCATGGCAAACAAAGTCCAAATGTACAGTACTCCAGTTAGAATGCCAAACAGGTTATGTAAACATTAGTAATTATACCCTTACTCTTAAGGTGTTAAATATGTGTGGCTTTTAAGCAGCAGCTAAGTAGATGAGCCTAAGGAGATAACGTCCACAGAAAGTGCAAATGGTTAAGGAAACGCTGGAAGAGGAAAAGGAGGTAACACCAGTTTCTTGCTATTTAAATGCTTCTTCCAACCGTAAGATTTTTGCTGAGTACAATCATTTTCTGCGAGGTGAATATTATGGTGCGTTTATATAGGCATACGGTGCGCAATGGGTCCACCTGCTCTAAAGCTTTGAGACTGTTTTTCACTAGTCATGCAACCGTAATAAAGGTACCCACGTTATAGGAGCAATAACATAATAGAGGGTTTGTAAACCAATACGTGAACTCTTTATCTTGTTTAAGTAGATATTATCCTGTTCCTATGATCTCTTTGATCTTGACCTGGTAAAATCTGTTACTTTTGGGTTTGTTTTGTTGCCTTTTTGCCAGCCTGTATCTTTATGTAACGTTTACTGGAGTGCATTGGGGTTTGGGTTTTTTTTAAATATCTTTAGTTTTTGGCAGTTTTCCCAGAGCTTCCGTGTGAGTTAATCATGAACAACTAAGGTACTTTAGTGCCCACAAATACAGGATTGTTACCTTACGTGTACTTTCTACTAGAAACAAAGAGCTAATAACCAGATCAGTTCAGTTTGATGCTTGCACATCACTGGCAATCAAAGCATTCACCTCCAATAATGGGCCAATTTGTTCACGGAGCATATTTAATACATTAGATTTTGGTTGCAGGATTCACTCCAACTTGTCTGTCTTATGTCACACACAATGTTCTGTAGAGCTAGACCTATTAGTTTAGAAGCATTGTTTATTTTAGTTGGCTTTTATATATGGATCCTTTCCAACAGCTGCATCTAATTGCGTTTGAGGAACTGGAGTGGGGAAAGCAATAGATTTGCTATGTGATCAGTGACGCAACCTCACTGTCACATTTCAGAAGCATGGCAGGGGAGAGAAGAAAACTGCCTTTTTTTTATTTAAATGAAACTGATGGGTATATTTTCCCAGAACGCTGAAATTTTGGCTGGCAAGGGGCAACTTTATTCTTTAGACTTCAACTAGCAGGATGTAGCCATACCTGGGTCTCATAAACTGATATGAAACACACCCTGCCTAAGGCAACAAAAAGCCAGGTTGGCCCGATTCTTATCTCTCTCTCTCTCCCCCTCCCCCCAAGAGAGATCAGAATCAGGCTCTGTATTTGTAAATTATTTTAACCCTTGCTGGAAGCTCTTGCCTTAAACGAGGGGGGGGGGGGTTCACTGCCATGTTTCCCTTGGAGAATTTTTTGTTTAAAATAAAGTTGTGACAAGATTCTCACATTCGGCTTCCACAAGAAAGCCGGGAGGGGGTCCTGCTGCTGGAAAGAAACAGCTGCAGTCAGGATGATGTAGCAACAGTAGTGAAGAGGGTCTAGGTCTAGTATCATGCACTAAGAGGGACTCTAGGTTTATCCCTGTTTGGGGTAGCTAAGAAGGTCTAGGATTATTACTAGTGATACCTATTTCTTAAATAGCACTCTTCAAAGTCTTTTAAATGTATTTATCCTCCCACCACCCCACTGCGGTAGGGACGCAGCATTATCCCGGTTTTACCGGTGGGGAACTGAGGCACAGATTTAGCCAAGGTCACTCAGCAGGTCCATGGCAGAGCCAAGAACTGAGCCTAGGTCTCCCCTATCCTAAGCCCCTCGACTCTCCTTCCCCTCCGAGGGGTCTAGTTCATGCCCTGGAGGGAGAGGCGAAGGGCTCGGATCTTGCACTAGCAGGGATGGATGCTCGGTTCATGCTGGTTGCTGAGATGAAGGGTTTGGACGTTGGTTAGGGACAGGGCGCCATGAGAGCCCCAGGCTGGGCGGCTACCCCACTCTGCTGGTTCGAGGGTGACCAGTTGTCCCCATATTAGGGGCTTTATTTTATATACACAACTCTACCCTCCCTGGAAAAAGTGTCCCTCCTTTTCGCACTTGCCCCTGCCTTTAAACCCCCGCCCCTCCGCGCTGGGTGGCTGGGATGGCTCCGCCGGGGAGATCCGGCCCCAGCCCGAGCGCACCCACCGGATGAGGAAGATGATGAGCCACTGCAGGGCGGTGGAGAGGGTGTCCTGGCTGGCCCCGAAGATGTCGGTGACGGTGGCGGGCACGTGCTCTAGCGGCAGCCGGGGCTGCGCCTGCTGGAGGCGGATGAAGGCGTCCAGCATGTCGCGGGGGGCGGCCCCGGGGCGCAGGCTGCCGCGGTGCTGCAGGAACTTGCCCCGCACGAAGCTGTAGAAGTCGCGGTTGAGCTGGCGGAAGGCGCGGTAGGCGGCGCGCACCGGGTTGGGGAAGCGCTGGAGCCAGGGCAGCGCGTCCACCAGGCTGCCGGCCCCCACCGTGCGGCCGAACTGCTCGTTGCGGCCCACCAGGCGCAGGAACTCGGCGTCGCCGTGGCTGTAGCGGCGGCCGAAGCACAGGGCGCTCATCACGTTGGCCACGGCCACCACCAGGCTGCGCCCGGGGTCCAGGAAGGCGCCGCCCGCGCTGCCCCGCACCAGCAGCGCCACCAGCGCCCGCGCCTCGCCCAGCAGGTGCTGCTCCAGCAGGCGGCGCGGGGCCGGGCTGCCGGTGGAGAAGGCCCGCACGGTGGAGTGCGCCAGCCGGCGCTGCAGCTTCCACAGCTCGGAGTAGCCGCCGAAGGCCAGGCTGCGGCCCCCGGACACCAGCTGGAAGGAGGGGAAGCGCGGCCGGCCGGCGAAGGCGGCCCCCTGGCGGATGAGCGCCCCGCGGATGGCGCGCTCGCCGTTCAGCACCACCACGGGCCGGCTGCCCAGGCGCAACTGGAACACGTCGCCGTAGGTGCGGGCCAGGCGGGCGAAGGTGAGGTGCGGGGCGCTGCCCAGCTGAGCCGCGTTGCCGATCAGGGGCCACGGGAAAGGGCCCGGGGGCTCCAGGCGCCGCTGCCGCAGGAGGAGCTTCGCCAGGTGGATGGCGGCGAGCAGGGAGATGAGCAGCAGCAGGGCGCTCTGCAGCGGCGGGATGCTGGAGAGCGCCTCTTCCAGCCGCCGGAGGGCCATGCTGCGGGGAGAAGCAGAGATCAGGTCGGGCTCTGAAGGAAGGGTTCATGTGCCCGCACCTGCCGTGCAGCAAAAGGCGGGGGCAGTGGGGGGCTGCAGATGTGCCGGCTTCGCAGGCGCGGCCAGTGTAAATAGAGCAAGTTCTGACCCCGACGCCAGCGAGCGATGCTGATCATGTCACTGCGGAGCCTGAGATGTGCCTAGAAAGCGCCTAGCGCGCGGCTGGGTGCTGAGCGAAAACCGCAATCAAGCACCATTGGCGTTTGAGAGCTGGGGAAGCGCTCGCCCCGGCCGACAGGGGAAGTTTGCCTCGTGGGAAGCGGACTCCCACGGCAGGAGCGGGCGAAGAGAGGAGGATGCGCTCGCTGTAAGCAACTGCCGCGACGTGGAAGCTGCAAGAAGCTTCTTCCTTATACAGGTCGGGCAGGTGATGCCAGCAGTGTCACCGCCCGTCTGTGCCTACTGCAAAATAAATGCGTCTACCGCGTTGGAATCTGCGCGCACCGCTCCTAATTATCTTTGGAAGGAAACAGCGAGAGACTGTAAATCAGGACAAGCTTCCCCCCTTCCTGACCTTAATTAGTGGTAGGCGTGAACTGGTAACAGTCAGTATGCACGCATGGGTTGAGGGAGATGGGCACAGCCCCAGTGATACAGGAATATCATTCACACCCAAATAGCAGTTACCAGTGTGGTAACTAAGAGCTCCTAGACAACGATCTAAACGTGCTTCACTTTTTGTCTTTTAATTTGAGTATGGGGGGAGGGGGAAGGGGAAGGCAGCTTTTAAAAAAAAATCTCTAATAAAACTGACCTGCTGAAAAATGCTTCCATCGGAGATTTCTGGGCTCCAGTGGGAGGATCCGGGCAGCCCGCAGCAGCTGTGATCCGTGCAATTGGGCAGCCCCAGCAGGAGACTCAGCACGCAGCGCAGCAGTGAGGTTCAGATCCCAGACTGTGGGAAACTCATTAGAAGCCCAGGTTCTTGTCACCCGGAGCTTGGCAGGTCATGTGCAGGCAAATGCCAATTGCACCCGATCCCGCATCGTGCGTTGTTCTAATCTTCCGAGCGTGTTAACCCTTCAGAGCTCGCACTTCAACAGCCTGCCTAGTTCAGACTAAATAGACATCAGCCAGATGTGATCCCTGCATAGAGCCCGGGGGATGGGGCAACCAAAACCTGCTGGAGCAAATGAGCGGCTTACAGGACAGTTTAGTGTCCCCCTGAGTTGAGCCGGAGCCCGGCTGGGCAGTCTTCTGGCACTGGCTCTCCTGGCTTCAATTCCACCAGCAGCTGCAGCCTCCAGCCCGTAGTTAGCCTGGTATTGACAAATCGCAGCCGCCCGGTTCTTCCCTACGGGACCCGGCTCTTTGTCAATTGCCTTTGGCCCCAACCCATCTGGACTGGCTGAGCCTTCGAGGTTTCCTGCCTTTTGGTGAACGTTTTAGCAAAGCGGTTCCAGTTGAACGGCTGGCGGGGCTGTGGGCTCGCGGACTTCTCTGGCAGGAGGGAAAATCTCCTTCATCTTCAGGGTTTATGAAGTTGGAAAGTTTCCCCCTCCTCTGCCTGTCGCCTCCCAGTTGCGTGCAGAGTTTGCATTGCGTGAGCCTGTGGTGGAACCCTCCAGCCATCTCCTCCCCCCGCTCTTCCTCTTCACAGTACCTGACACCAGCTTAAAGGGAAATAACGCAAAGCTGGGCAATACAGGCGCCCGGCCGCGTGCAAGATTAGAAGGAAACGGCCGTAGCATGGGGAGCCAGGCTGATAGCTTTGTCACCTGCTGAAGGGAGCTGTTAGTTCCCAGAAGTGAGTCATTTCGTCTGTGAGAGGATGATCAGTTCGTTCCCGTTCGGTTTTGCTCCTCATCAGAAATCTCTGTAGGTCACTGGGATGTGTCCCTCTCTGGCGGAGGGTATGGAGTCTCGGCTGGAAGTAGCCTGCACGTCTCTCCATTCGTTCGCTTACCTCTGGGAGAGCAGGAATTGTTACCTCTGGCTGCTCAGGGAAGCCCAGGGAGTTTTTGCTATTGACTTGAAGGGGAGGAGGATAGGGCAAAGTAAAGGGAACGGCCCAGTTGTTTCCTAAGGTTCCTTCTTGAGTCCCATTACAGTTTCTATTTGTTTGTTTAGGGAGTTTTAAGAGATTGACAAATCCTTGCCATGTAAATATCAGAGACAATACAATAATCATTATAACACTGGGCTTTTGGTTAAAGAGGTACAGTGATATAGTCATCAGATCTCTCTATGTTACTATATTGCAGAGTGAGCATGTTAAGACACTCAAAGACATGTCATTTCTAATTGTTTTATTAAACCGAGTAAAATCTCTGATTACACAGTTAGGAGAGCAGACGTGTCTATCTCGTGTTAATATTCAAAAGCAAATGTACAGTTTCCCTTTTCAGGCACAAATAGTGATCTTTTCAGAGGTATATTTTCCAATGTTCCAATATTATTGGGATGCTTTCCACGATTTATGTGAGGAATTATTTCCTTCTAGACACATACAGACAGAGTGAGAGAGTTAAGCACTATAATACATTTAGGATGTATTCCATTCTTTCTTGATTTAAAAGGGATTATAGAAGTCCTCAGAGGTACCTACAAAAATGGGTTTCTGCATTTCTTTTCAAGCTACTTTTCAAATATTTTTAAACTCTCACACACAAAATTTGCCCTAGGCTAACAAAATAGATTACAAATTGTTAGCATGGCAGCTTTGAGTGGAAAATATCATCTTGGTAGCATTTAGAGTTTCATGAGATTAGAACATGACATCTTGTCCATCTGAGAAGTTATTTTTATTTTGCTTTACTATTTATTAATTTGTTATAAAATGCACATTGTGTCCACAGCATTATATCTGGGTTCATATTACAAACATTTAAACAGACTGTTACCAACAGTTGGCATTGGTCAAACCCATCTCTCCTTCTACCACCTCCATCAGCTGAGTAATGAATGACCTACTCCTATTTCCACTGAAGTCAATGCAAATTTTACCATTTATTTCAATGGCAGCAAGAATGGGTCTGTTAGGAGCTGGGTGAAATCTTGTTATGGGTGGAGTTAAACCCTCATTGAGATTAATACGTATGACTTCACCCTTCAGTTAACATACTGTAAAGATAAACCTCACCTAAGACAAAAGGAATATGTGAACACATCCAGGAACTTTTGCTGTGTGATGTTTATGTTCAGCGGCATGGATGTATGCGAGAGGGAAGAACACACAGAAACTGAGACAGCTTGGTATCTGACCTGGTAAAAACCTGGGTAGAGATTTTTGGGTCAGAGGTGCAGGCTGAAAAGAGTGTTCTTGGTGCTGTGAGCCAAAGAAGCGGTTTCCTACTATTTGATTCCTTCTGCATTCAGAGACACAGAAGTTTGCATGTTCTTTGTAAATAAACAAAACTGCATCAAAGAAATCCTTATCACCAATTTCTACTCCCAACTGGAACATCCCCAGGGCCCCAAATTTTGACTAGATGCTTGACTCAAAAAGAGGCAACAGGTCCTACATCTCTGTCCCGCCCTCCCTCCCCCCCCCCCCGAATTAAGAAAAGGACAGTATGTGTTTTGCATCGAATCCCCAGGTCGCCAAACTCCAGTGCCAGTGGACTGCAAGAGGGAGAAGATTTCCAGAACCAAGGTTAACTTACCAAGGACGCCTTGCTGTCTGCACCCAGGAGCTTAACACTGGGGACAAAGATCAAGAACATCCTGACCCATCACAACAGGACACTTGAAACAGGTACCCGAAGAAGCTGAATCCTAGGCCATTCAGAGCACTTTTAAATGGCATTTCCTGACAGTTGAGTGCCTCACTTTGCAGCCTTAAGATTTTTTTCCTATTGAAACTCCAAATTAGACTGTAAGTATAACTGCTCACCCTGGGTAGTCAGCAGGGATTGAACCAAGGACTTCTCCACGAAAATCATGAGCCTTCACTGTTCAAGCTAAAGGACTCGAATCTAAAGTCCATGTATTATTACAAGCCTAATTTAATTTTTTTTCATTCTGTAATAAAATATCTATCCTCTTCTTTCATTTTTTTTTTGGCCTCTGAAAAAGATAAGTGACTTCCAAAAGTCATGGATGTTGAGTCCTACCATTGATCAATGGTTGAGGAAAAGACAGAGAAAGAAGGCAAGATGAGAAAAAAGATATTACATTTATTGTTTCATATTTATATTGAAGTGGTCCCTACTGGCCAACCAGATCTGGGCCCCATTATCCTGGGTGCTGTACAAATACGTAAACAGTGAAGTCCTCACCCAAAGTGTTGAGTGTTTAAACCCATTATTGTCCAAAGATTATTTCAACTACATGTAGTGAACACTCACCCCAACTTTCTAGGGCCTGATTCTCTGGTGCTTTGCACCTTGTGTAGTCACACCTGTGCAAAGCATATGAAATGTTGCCATTCTGATTTCTTAGTGTTTTACAAGCTGCAAGGTGTTTACAGTTTCAGGGTGACTGCACCTATATTCCTCCTCCACGGTCCCTTGAGGGAACTCACTCAAAGTTTTCAGCTCCCAGGTGTCACCCGTTGGGTGGAGACCCATGTGTCTCTCCCTCCTGTCTGGGGTTTTAAGGCTACACAGCTCCCTGCCTTACGCTGCAATATCCCCAGAAAGCCAGTCCACCTAAAGGCTAGTGCCTGTGCATTGCTTTCTCTCCCCGAAGGCTATGAGCAGTGTATTGCCAGCAGTGGCAAGTCACCATGCAGCTCTTTCTAAGCAAGCACATTTATTCATAAGGTAAAAACATTACAGGGAACATGTAATAAAACAATAAACAGATTTTAACACACTCTAAACATACTAGGAGTCACTCATGTGTAAGAGTTAGGTTTTTTTATTTAAAGCAACAGAGTTTACCACAAGAGTTCAGTTTACATGAAGATTTCTTCTGATACAAGTTCCATTAGTACAAAAGATTATTTTCCTCAGTTTCACTGCCTTACACTGATACAAGGGCAACAGTAGGCATCTGATTCTCATCTGCACCCAGAGTGCCAAGGATGCAAGGGAATTGGCTGGGGCTCCCTGGTTATGGGGCCAATTCTATGCTGGGCCTGGTCTAAATTAGAGCATCTTGGGATTGCTTTTTAAAATATATATTGTTACATTGTATATCTTAAAACTTTGTTAATTTCTTATATTTATTTGAGGCAGGGGCCTGTGGAAAAAACGGTGTGTGATCATAATACATAGGCGCTAGAAGAATGAATAAAGGTTGCACAAGCAACATTAATTCTGGCATTTCCTAACTTTTTGGTGATGGTATTGATTATTTGTATTATCGTAGGACCTAGGAGCCATGGAAAAGGACCCCATTGTGCTAGGCACTGTACAAACACAGAACAAAAAGACAGTCTCTGCCCCAGAGAGTTTACAATTTAAGTATAAGACAACAGATGGATACAGACAGACAAATAGAGGCATACAAGGAAACAATGAGTCTATGTTGGTCAGCATGATAGGCTGTGGTCTCAGCACAGGGGTGGCAAAATGCACATCCCTGACACAAAGGCCACCCCCTTGCCAAATTTCAAGTTCCCACTCCAGAGAATGCGGCTGTTCGAGCTTTAACATGAACAAAACAACATTTTTGGAAAAAGCTGGACTGTTTGGGCTGAAACATTTCCAAAATTTCAGCCTCAGGCAGACACCCAGCATGTACAACTTCAGCCTCAATGGCTAGAGTTCGGCAAAGGTTATAAGCAATTGAAAACATAGGGGTTCCCAATCAAGATGAGGGGCCCATTGTGTTAGACTCAATACATACACATAATGAGAGACAGCCCCTGTCCCCAGTAATTTATAGTCTAAAGAGAGAAGATGGCTAGAGGGTGGGATGGGAAAAGAGAGGCAGAGATGAATAAAGGATCAGCTGCAGAGCCAGAAATAGTTTCCCAGTTCAGTGCCCTACCCCCTAGGCCATTTTATCAGCTTACAATTTCTCACGGTATAATTTCCCATTGTATACATATTTTTCACTTAATTTCTTCACTTTGTATTGTACCCTGATCACCATTCTTTCTGCACAAATACAGTTTTGTAAAGAGCAAAAACAGACAATGCAATATTGAACCTGGTTGTTCTGAACATAGCATATATCATTAGTACAGTAGGATAAGGTGAATTTTGAGTACTGCCCCTTCACCCACAGAATATACCTAACTGTGATGCCTGTAGTCTTGCCCTCTTGGGCTTTGATCTCATGAGTTCATGGGTTGGGCTGGAAGCGTCAAATGAAAATGCCTGTGCTGCAAAAAGTGGTGGTAAGGATTCAGCAGGTGGTGCTCTTCTCTCTGGAAGTCTGCGCTGAACCATTATTGAAGTGTAACATCAGGTGACACTGAGGAGCTTGTCCTTTGCATGAGTTTTATAAAACAGGCCCTGACCACTTGTGCTCATTAAAGACCAATCACATTTTCCCTAGGATTAAGCATGTGTGCCTGGTATCTGGGCTTTCTTCTACCTGGGGGGAATCACATTCTGCTTCCCAAGTATCAGAGGGGTAGCCGTGTTGGTCTGGATCTGTAAAAAGCAACAGAGAGTCCTGTGGCACCTTTAAGACTAACAGATGTATTGGAGCATAAGCTTTCGTGGGTGAATGCCCACTTCGTCGGATGCTTACCATCACTTTCAATTGTAAGGGCCAAAGTTGCATAAACCGTGACCCCCATAGTATCTGTGATGATTTCTTGGTGTGGTGTTTGCAGAGTTCAAATGTTTACATTTTGACAGTGGGAAATGTTCAGTGTTTTAAATAAGCGAAGTCTTAGCACTCAATTACGCACAGGCAGACAGTATCCCTCGTGCTCTGGAAAGTGGGAATGTGCTATTCATAGAGATGGTGTGTGAGATAGACTGATTATTACTTGTTTGCCATGTTGTTGATTGCTACTTGTCTGTCTGGTGGCTTAATCAAACAGGGACATAGCAATATGAATAGCATGAGGGCTCTACTCAGCTCAGGAGGTCAGACTAAATGATCATGATGGTTCCTTCTGACCTTAGAGTCTATGAGCTCAAGCACTCTAATCTCAAAGGGGCAGATCCTCTGATCTGGTGTAAATGGTCAGAGTTCAGCTGAAGCCAATGGAGCCATGACCACTGACACCAGCTGAGGATCTGCTCCTAAGGGTCACTCCCTAAATGCCGCTCCTTAAATAAGCAAGCCATAAACCTGGCCACTCCTTTTCTTAATTGTTTCGTGCTTTCTGCTACTATCACATCATTGCTAGAAAGCCCCATGGAATA